CAAATTTAAAACACAGATAATTCTGGACAAAAATAGATAGGAAGCCTAAAACATCAACTTTGAACACTATTAGTGATTAGATTAGCTAAAAATTCTGTTTTTGAAACTAGGATATGATTGGTCAAACTAATGGTGAATCTATCCCTTTAATATATAACTGTCTTCAAGACCACACGCTCAACTTGTCTAAATCATCTGGCCATTGCTCTTATCAGACATGACTGGCAAATACAGCCAGATTAAGCAGGTAGGGTTGTCAAAAGCACTAAAATATGATAATAAAATCCTTGCTAAGCTGACCTGGGTCTATCTGGAATCTCCTCTACTTCATTAACACCGAGTTTAAAGGTACAGCTAGCTTCCCCAGCCATATTGACAGCTCTTATGGTGTATTTCCCAGCATTCATGGCAGCCATGTTTCTTAACTTCAAAACATGGTTGTTACCACTCTTACGGATTATACGCCTGTGGGATTCCTGAAGTCAAATAAAATAGCGTTTTACATCCTAGTTTTAAAGTTCTACACCTGTGCAGTCTAATTAAAGTTAGACCAAACTTTCGTTCTGTTTTTTTTTTTTTAATATAGCCACTTCAGTTAGGGTCTAAAGGCAGGCCTCTTAAACAATCGTCAAAATAACCCGTTGACCTAAATAGATGATGTCTGCTTTAACCAAAGTTCTAACTTCTCCAGCTGGCACTTTGTGATATTTATCAGATTAGTTCAAATATTATTTTGACAACATTTAAGAGGGCTGTTGTTAGACCCTTACTGAAGCGGCTGTATTAAAAATAAAAGCTAATATAAAAAACGGAATGAAAGTTTGGACTAATTTTAATTAGACTGTTAGGCTAATCAACAAAATATACATATAAATTGGTTAATGAATGATTTGCAGAAGAATTCACTCAATTGAATAAAAATGAAAATCACAATACTTACAAATAATTCTCTGTCCTCAAAGAACCAAGTAACATCAGGTTCTGGTTCCCCAGCTACAGTACACTCTAACTTCACATCCCCTCCCATATCCACTTCTGTATCTACTGGCTTCTTGATGAACTTTGGTGGCTTCACTTCTGGTCCATGACGTCTGGGATCTTCCATCACAACTAACTGAGCTACGCATGTTGCTTCCCCTAGATCATTCTTCAATTTACAAGTAATTTCCCCTGCTTGGTCCAAGCGTACATTACGGAATGCCAATAACTGATGTCCGTCATCTTCTTTTCGGATTA